TTTTTGATTAATTTTTCATCTGTTACTTTCACTTGTTTAAATAGTAATGCTACTGACGTTAAAAGCACTGACATAGTGTAATTTTTCAAGACAGACTAACTTCAAAAGACTTGCTTGGGGATGATGAAAGGATGTGGCAAGCTTACGAGGAGTCAGGCTCTGAGTTCATCATTCAAATAAAATAATAATTGGCTCTGCAGATCTCTTTTGAGCATGAATCGCTGTGCCCGAGCATCACACATTTATCCCAGCTAGAGAGGTAGTGCCGCATGGGGCCCCACCGCAGCTTGGCAGGACCCGTGCAAGGTGATGAAAGAGCTCCCAGCAGCATCTGGTATCAGTTTTTCATTCACCGTGGAAAACTGCTGGTGTTATAATCAACTCGCCATGCCATTTGTTTTTTTCTTCCTTTGTAGTCCTTGCAAGAGGTTTCTCTCAGATTTTTGATTTACTGTTGGGTTATTTCTTTGTAGCTTTGTAGTTTTGTGGTAATTTCTGACAAATGGCCAAGCACTTTGAAGTTTGGTCTTCAGAAATGTTTTCTTGCGTTGGGGGACACAAAGAGATCAAAATTCTATTGACTCTGGATCAACCCAAAAGAATATGATGAGGCATTAAATTCAAGGGGATGCAAGATTTCACTTGAGCCTGAGGCCTTGTATATCTGCTGCCTGGTCAGTGAAGAAGGAGACTCAGTTCCAAGTATCTTTCTTTTGTCAGTTAGGACAAAGGCTTTGGCTTTTGTTTCCTGGCTTCTTCAAGAAAAAAAAGACTGAAAAAGTGGTTTGAAAATTTGAAAATCATGGCTCACACTATAACAGCACAACTTCTAGCCATTTCACAGGTCTCAGGATGTCATGGTTCCCTCCACTTATATATATGAACTTGCAAGTTCATCTGCAAGTGAGATCTGATTTTTAACAGAAAATTGTTTTCCTAACTGTACTGGACCCATGATCAATATAGTGCTCTCTAACTCCTTCCTCTGATCAGATGTTTTAGAGTAGAGATGCTGCCAGATTACCCCACACAGCACCATGCTCATATAAGTGCAACCAAGAAAAGTTTGTTCTCAGATCTGGAAAGCCGTGTAGCAATACTGCGTTATATTCATTCCTTTATCCTCTCTTTGACCAGGAAAGGCCCATCTTGTACACCTAATTTAACCATCCCAGATGGCATCACTGGAGGCCTTTGTGGTCTCTGAGGTCCTTCTATAGCAGTCCCTGTTTAGAAGATGGAATTGCCCTTGAATAGATACACCTGGCAAATTTGAAATGTCCTATCTTCTGCATAAGAAAAGACTGCCAGGCCCTTTACTTTTTGCTTGTCTTCCTCCTCCTTCCAATATAAAAAAAAAAGAAAAAAATGCCTATGTACTGTTTATTATAATATAACTGAGGAGCACCTAGAGGCATTACCACAAGCAGGTTTCAAACAAAAGGTAGTTTTTCAGCCAACGCATAGTCAGGAACTCATTGTTACAGGATATTGCGGAGGGCAGAAGCATTAAAATACTTTTTAAAAATAAAAGTAAAGAGTTAAAACAGGTAAACATAGAGGATAGATGAATTGCTGTCTACTAAATAATCTCCAGCTTAAAAAGCTGCTTTGCTTCGGAGTCTTGGAAGCTTTGCAGCTGTGACATAGGGAGGATCACCTTGTACCAGTCCTTACAGTGTTTCCGTAAGATTTGTTTCTCAGGATACCAGGAGATAAGGTACTGAGTCAGATGGAGCCTCCCTGTGGTTCAGCATAGCTGTTCTTATGTTCTTTAATTCTTCTGGTTTTGCCAAGGCTGCAGGGCAGGACTGAATGTTTATATAATGCTTTGTATTGTTTCTGCACTAGGCTCCTGTTTTCAGTACTTTCATACTCTAAATCTTGGATACAAAGCTGGGTCATGATTTTTCCAAGTTGCCTAGGACATTTCAGAGAAAGTAGTGTGTGGAAGCCCTTACATTGCTTTGAAAACCTCCATTACAAAGCTTCAGAGTTAAAAACACTTACAAATAATTTCTTGCAATCTGAAGGCTTGCTCTGGTTAACAAACCGCTGCCTTGCTACAGTCCAGAGTTCAGGTTCGTGTATGTCTAGGCCTAATATTTAGACACCTCCCCTAAAATAAAGTTTGCAATCAACCGTTGTATTGAACCGTGTGTGCCACAGGAAGCCAAGGGATACTGCTTCTTCTTGAGCACAGCAGTTGCACTCTTCCACCACCAATATGGTTTTTAAGTGAGCTCCTGCTTCCAAACCACCTGCTGACTTCCTCAGAGGGTTTCCCGCCTTGTCAGTTGTCCTCCCTCACACCTCCATCCTTTGGGGCTGGGAATTGTCCCTCCTTGCCCACCTGTGCTGCTGGCTTCCTGCGTGCCACTCGCTTCCAGGCCCGCTGCTGCTGGTGCCCAGGAATGGGGCTTCCCGGCGGAGCAGCTCTCCACACAGCCAGATCCCTTCCCTCTTGCTGCATTGGTGGGGAGCAAGGAAGAGGCCGCTCAGCTGTGTTTCAGCTGCTGGGATACGAGCTACATGTTAGCTCCTTCCCCCAGGAAGGACAAGCACCCAGTGACCCAGGGAGCGGGCGCCTTCCCACAGGGTGGGAGAGTGAGAGTGGGGTAGAAACCACATGCTTGAGGGGGTGGGCAGAGAGGGATCACTTTGCGAGGCAGTCCGTGGCAGTAACTAATACATAGGAAAGCCTGCTGTCCTTGCAGGGCATCTTTTTAATATAAAAAAATTTATTTTCCGTGTTCATTCACCACTACCTGGAACACTGTTTACATCTTACACAGTGGAGTTTCTCAGGACATTCGCTCTATCCCCTTTCATCCTTTCACTTTGCCTGTAAGAAGACTGATGATTTATGTAGCATTTTTAGAAATAAGAAGGGAATGGTGTTGTTTTTACATCTTTTTTTTGTTTTGTTTTACAGTAGGTGACAACGTGCAAACCATACCTTCTGCATTCAGAGAAATATTCACTTTTTTCGCATTTATTTTGAAATTATACGATCTTTTTTTCAGTAGATGACCAGAATTGTTTTGTTTTCCTTCGTTGTATGACGAACTGAGCAGTGTAAAATTGTGAAATTCCTTTCCGGAGAACAAAAGGTAGCCTATTTCCCACTGATAAAATAGCTATTTTAGCACCTGTAAATCTGTTTTGCATTTAATGGAAAACTACATTCTGTGCTGATAACAGGATCAGAAAATGGGCTCTGACAGCATGTTGTGATTTTACAGTATCCAGGGGTAAAACATGAGCTAATTATGAGCACATGGCTTTCAAGAGTCATACTTTTGTATTTAACTCCATAAATCTTGCTAAGTGAAATCCAAACCTATGTCTACAGCATTTGCTAATCATTAGGCCATTAATTGGTTTTGCTTCTTTATTCATAAAAGATGGGAGTGTTCGGAGTTTTATTTCTAAAGAAATGGCTGCAAAAAATAGGAAGTACTTTCTTTCCCTCTGTAACTTCACAGGAGGTGTTTCTGCTGAACTGCTGAAGCTAAAAAACCTGTTGGCCTTCCTAAACAAAGGCCTCTGTACAAGAGTTTTTCAGCACTGCAATTCAAATGGTGTCTAGTTTCAGCCCAGAATACCAAGGTCATAATTTTAGGCCATAGATGGCTCTCCCAGATGTCTTTGGTCAAGTTAATCACAGTTTGCCTGAAGGTTGCGCTTTCAGGTAATCCATCAAGGCATAATTGTAAATCAAAACCTTCTTCTAGGTCAATAAGTAGCATATTTTTAGCTTGCGTTAAGGCTGACATTGGACAGGAACTTAAACTAGGGTAGAATATTAAGCAATATTACTGATTACTTTCATCTGCCACACATACTTTTAGAAAAGTGTGTTTCGATAATTACTATCAAAAAAATTCTTCTGGAATTTTTTAGAAACCCTCCTTTAAACTCCAGCTGGATTTACTATATATTTTTTTCAACTTTCAGCCAGTATTAATAAGCCTAGTTTAAGCTACCCACTGCTTTACTCCACTCTAGCTGGAAATATCAGATCTTGACCTGATCCTCCATTGAAATGGACCTCAGACCCACAGCGTTTGGTTAACTGAGCATGCAAGAAATCTGGTCGTGTACAGGAAATCAGATCTTGAAGTAGGATGGTAATGTACAGGGTGAGGAGTCGGTGGGTTGGCCAAGGGCTGTAGGAGGCAAATGAGGGGTGGTAAAAGCAAAGGACTTAATGCAAAACACAGAAATGAGACGCTGGAAGATAAATCTTCCTCTAGCTCTTGCGGTGGGTTTTTGTGTGTGAAGGCACATTCTTGCCCTAAGTTGTTCTGACATTTGGGATCTGTCCTGACTTCTTTCTTCTGACGGCAACAGATAGCATTTTGGGCCTGAAAAGTAAAAAATCACTCTGCCTGCAATTGAAGTTAGCCAGCACAAAAACGGAAAGCACCAGACATTCAATATGGCATGCTACTGCCCTTCAATAATTTAAGTCAGTGGTAAGCGGTACTGTGTCTACCTGAAACACTGGGGACACATTTTAAGCTGATGAGTGCCAATTACATGAACCGGAATTTGGTCGGGATGCTGAGGCCTGCAGGCTTGTGACATGTGCCATGGATTCATTAATGCCCAGATGTGATGGGGCCACGATTTTATGCTTTGTCCCCAAAAGCAGCAGTTTGTGGTGAATCCTGATGTCACTTTTAGGATAATATTGAGTGATGCAAGAGCCAGTTTAATTGATGGTATGCCTCAGTAGATACATATGTACCTACACTAAGCACCTTTAATAAATTAATGTAACAAGCATAGGGAGACCTGCGGCTTCACGGCTTCGAATTCACTTTGAACTACGTTCACAGTACGCACTGTCAACAGTTTCCCTGCCAAAGCCATAAACTATCTCAGCGGATAGACTAAATACAGCTCTTTACAAAGGACATGAATCTCCCTATTGGATGTCTCGGCTCTAAGAGGGAGGGACGGAGGCTTAGCTGGTGCAACTCCACATAGCTCCAGGGCAGCCAGGGAAGGCGCCCAATTCCCACCAGCTGATGAACTGGCCCCCAGGAGAAAGCCCAGGGTAGGAGACGAAAGGTAAGCCCTGTGAAAACATTTTCTGAGACCTCTTGTGAATTAGACTTAATAACAACACAGCGTGGGACAGATCCAAGCTTCCATCCAGTGCCAAAATCTTACTGCTGGAGATTAAAGTGACAGTTTCTAAAATCCGGTGAGATGCAGCAATGCAAACTTTGGCTGAAAGCAATAACTCCTTTTTAGACTAATTAATGCCAATGTTTGTTTAATCTCCAAATTCCATCACATGCTGTAGGAGTGCTCTACTTTTATAGACGGGGGCAGTGCAAAACATGTTCTGTATCCAAGAAAATCGTGCCAAAATCCCTAGCAACTTATCTTTTTCTTCTTCTTCTTCTTCTTCTTCTTCTTTTTCTTCTTCTTCTCCTTCTAATCCGTGTTTTGCTCTTGGTGCTCATGGTAACAGTAACAGCTGTCGAATACGGCTTCAGGCTGTCTGACTCCCTTGGGAGAATTTATGTGTTTTTCTAATTCCTTTCCTTATTAGGAGGCAGGAATCTGCGACACCTATTAGAACAAGTATGCATAAAGGGTAATGATGGTGCAATTTATTAGTGGTCTGTTCTTCTTCAAGCAGACCATCAACCAAAAACACTCGGTCTGTGCCAGGGACCGCGACTGAGCACAATCTTGCCATGCAGCAGGTGGGTAGCAGCAGAGCTCAGCTACAGGGAGAAGTTTGGCAGGGGAGGTCAAATGCTGATGTACTTAAATAAACTCCTTAACTGAATATCAATAAGGAGAAGACAGTAGGGATGGGGAGTTCCCCTTGTGAAATATTTAACTCAAAGCCCCAGGTGATGGAGGCAAATATCAGATCACCCAGTCCTGCAACTTGTATGCCAAATCACTTAATTTCACCAGCAGTCCTACTGCCATTAGTACTGCTGAGCCTAATAAGCATTCCTCAGAAGGAGATATGCCTGTAGAAGGCAGTCTAGCAAAAATAAGTGAAAATATGAGCGCTTGGTGTGTTCTAATACGTAATATAGTCATTCTGAAGTAGACTGATAGTTCAATCATGTTTACCGTCTTTAAAACGAAAACGTTCCAAAAAACAAAAGGTAGGAGTTCTGGTCTAGAAACTAGCCACAGAGGACGGTGATCAGCCTTTTTAAAGAGCGGAGAAGTCAGCAGACATCCACCTCACATGAGGAACCTTGCCTTACATTCCCTGTGTTGAAGGACTTGAGATGCAAAGGGGTGGATCTGCCCAAGTTTGGGAGTATTCACATCCAGCCTTTACTCGGGACCCATTGCTAGTCTTGCAAGCTGCATCTGGCCATGGCTTAGAAGCATTATTCTTGCTGATCTTGTGGTCTGTCAAAGTAGTTCAAGCTGAAAAGGGTGAGAATCCTGATTTTATTTAAATATGATGTGGTTTGGATGTTTGTACTTCAGTCCCTCGCACAAACGGATGCTTTTAGTCCAGGTGTGTAGTCAAACAGAAACGTGGGTGGAGAAGGAAATAAAAAGCCGAGAACCAGGTCTCAGAGGACTAGACCAATCATCTGAAAATGTTGTAGCAAGCCTCAATCTATTATTCCAGACAAATCTCCCACCCATTTTACATCACTGTGTAGCAGGCGGCGAAATAATTGCCCTGGATTACTGACGTATAAACAAGTGCAGGCTCAAACACATTGACTCCACAAGGTAACGCACATCGGAAAGAGCAGAAGGACAGGGATCATATTTTACTTTGGTTAGAATATTTTACCAGTAAATCTGTACTAATTAATATAATAATATTTTAATATGCTGTGAAAGTTTAATTGCCTGGCTCATTAGTAGGCAGCTGGAAGAAATGGCATGTGGATGAAAAAAATCTCAGGCTCATCAAGAGACCTTCTTGCACATTATGTCACCTAGCTAGCTAGCTAGCATACATTCCCTCTACAGGCAAAATAGCAACACTGATGAAAATAACACCTGCAAACTCCAATTCTTTAAATATTTGTCTTTTTTTTTTAAGTACCCATTTGGAAAATGCTGTAGTGAAAATATACTATTGTAAAGCCGCAAATCTAGATTAAAAATACTAAAAGAAACCCCTAAAAACTGCTGAATTAAGACAAACATGAAGAACCTTTAAGGAAAGAAGGTCATGGGAAAGCCAGTGCTGATGAAGAGCTAGCACGCACATCACAGAATTTTGTCAATTTTTGCAGTTTGCTTGTACAACTGTAACACTCATCAGAGTTACCTGAATGATAGCTCTTTGTTCAGGCATTGCTGCTGATTAAATCTTGGTTTTCCAGCTAACTGCTAAACCTGCAGGCAGCAGGGATAATGTAGTTGTTTGATCTGTCTAATTAAGAGCTTAGATGTCTCAACATATGCAAAGCAGCTAGATGCCATAGAGATGAAAAAAATGCATGCAATGCAGCAGTAAGAATAACCGTTCTTTTGGTATCTCTTTATGGAGGAAACGATGCAGCCCCACCACGGCTTCCACCATATGAAGTCACTGTGCTGATCTTCACAGTGCCCCTACGAGGCACTATTAACTCTATTTTTTTAGGAGCAGTAAGGCTTAGGTCACGCCAACTGTGTTTTCTCCAAGCCAGTCCCTCAGGTGCCTTTGCCGAGCACTGCTTCTGGGCAGAGAAGCTCTTGCCTACTGTGAGACACAGGTGCAGACACCACACCAGAGCCATGCGTCAGGGAAGACTCACGTGGGCCTCATCCTTCTCTTTCACCCTTGCCACGCAGGGTGCCTTGCCGTGGGGTAACACTAGTGCCAGGGATGTGTGGTTTGCTTGATAAGCACTGCTAGATGAAAATATCCCATTTCCTCAGGTACTGCACCAGAGTCTACAGACTATATGTGCCTTCTTTGCAGTATCGCTATTACAGTTCAGATTGGTAACTACCAAAAAGTCTCCATGTGTTTGGGGAGCGAATGACGCGGGAAGGAAAGGAAGGTCAATGAATGACCTTTGGTTTTCACCAGCATAAATAAGGGCAAGGTGCAGCCCCCTTTCCCTTTATTAGAGGGCATTTTTCTTCCTCTGGGTGACTTTCCTGCATGGAGGTGGGTATTGCTGCAGCTGTTTGACTGTATCCTGACAACACTGCTGTGTACTGCAATCAATTTACAAGTATCCAGCACCGATCCACCCAGCATTTTAAATCAGTTTTCCTGAGCAAGTGTTTCTTTGCCAAATTCATCCAGGCACCTCAGCATCAGCTCTAACAGATACCATATGGGCAGCTGGTGAAGAATGACAATAAAAACTTCTATTTGTATTAAAAAGACCTTTCTATAATACGGCAATACATATTGTCTTTTCCTCTCCTTCAAGCAAAGCACATAATTTATGGTAGTGCCTACCTTAATGATCATGGGAGACATGTATTTTTTACTTCTTGCCTACCTTAGTTTATAGGTTTCTGATAAGACAATCCTAAAGAGCTCCTTGCTTTCAGTTTCAGGGGTACTATATTGCTGCCTTTCATGTATTTGGCTGCATAATCCAAATGGTGAGAATGACAGCTTAATCCCCAGAAATAACAGAGGAAGAGTATCGAAGACAATGCTGGTGGCTAAGATCTCATTTCCGGAATCAAGTTAATTTAATGCTCATAAAAGACACCGTAATGACAGCCCTCAAGACAGAGTCTCTGTTTATTCACCGAATAGGCTCAGCTCTTGTAATGTTTTGGCGCCACTACTCGTTTTATTTGCTTATCAAAGTATATCTTGTAGGCAGCAGCTATGCTTGAGGATGTTTTGCATGAATCACTCCTGTCAAGAACCTGACTTTACAGGTATATGTGCAGGAGCTGAAAAGAGGGCTCAGGCAGCTGGTGTTGAGCTTTACTATCGGGACTGCTGCTTCTGCCTGACCAGGTAGAGGATCGAAGCAACCTCCCCCGGGACAGATGGAGCTGGGGGCTCTCCAGCGTGCCATTCCCCCAACCTGCCGGGGCAGCAAGGAGAAGCTAATTCAGGTTTTGTACCCCTCTGGCTGCCAGGTGCCAGTGGGATGGACAGCCCCAACAGATGCGCATAAGTAGGGTCTGAGACCAGCGACTTGTAGCTCCTGGGCCAGCAAGCCGTCAGGATACCTTTGTGGGGTTAAGCTTGTGGTTTAGCCAGATCTGAAGTGATGATACAGAGGTGAAAAGCGTCATATCCCATTAACAGCTCCCTAAGCCGTTCAGTGTCTCAAGTAAGAGCTCTCCTCCTACTGAGTAAGATCATCTTTAAAAATACATTTGGTATCTGTCTCCTAACAAATTCTGTATACACACAATATATACAACAGTAAAATATGTGTTTACATAAAATATTACATTTTGCATTGATATTTATATTCAAGCAAGCACAATTTTAAATATAAAGACTACACGTGTAATGTATGTGTATAGTACATTGACAAGATTTATGTAAACATTATACTACTAGGATAAATGTACAGATGTTCTCAGCGTATGTAAGACAGTCTAAGATTAGCAGTTAACAGTATCACTGCTATTGAACTTAGCGGATAAAAGGTATGTGAACTTAGCGGGTAAAAGATATGAACATGTGAGTTAATAACCCTTCACAAACTCAGTCTGTGACAGTGGGGAATCAAAAAAAGTCAGGAGAGAATAATTCAGCTTGCTTCTCCACTTGTGGAAAATCCAAGCATTAATGCAGGACCATGACACATATAGAGTTCAACTATCTTTATGATTCAGTTTTGCCCTCAGATAAATGTGCATTTCTTGCATGTTTTCAAAGGAAATTCAATATGATCTGAGTTGCTCTCCTTGCCAACCTCCTCTGCATGTATTTGTGAGGTGAGTGCTTATGGGAGATGAAGCAGAATATGTGGGACCTGGCTGGAGAGCTGGCTGTGGGGGTAGAGTAAAATGCAGACCACAACTGAATTCATTTGCCATTGTGTACAAAACAGCTGTCAACTTTGTAAGTACTAAAATACTAGCCAACCTGCTCAGTTGATCCTCTCAGAAATATGGGATTGTTTTACAAATTTCAGCCC